AACCCACTTGAATCAAAGTGTGAAATATGATATATCAAGAACTATGTAATGTTTTGAACAACCAACAATAAAAATTAAAAAAAAGATCCATTTACATGTATTTACCAAACAACAATAACAATGAAAACAAAAGCCTTCATTTCAATATTAAATACATAAACTGATTGATAATGTAAAAATGGAGATAATATCTTGACCATATGAATTCAAATTAAGCAGGAGTTCTTTCCTTATTCTGTCTGTTCTCCCTTCCTGTCAATCTCTTTCATCTAGCCCACTGATCTTTCTTTTATATTGGTGGAATACTCCACTGCCACCTGTTTCCCCTTTCTATCTTATTTTTAGCTTCTTATTTTGGACTAGGTTTCACATATCAGAGAAGATATTTGACTTCAAATTTGGGGGGTCTGGCTTAGCATAATAGTCTCCAGGTTTATCCATCTACCACCAAATGTCAAAATTTCATTCTTATTCATGGCTGCGTAATTGTGTCTATAATCACCACATTTTCTTTATCTATTTATCTGGGGAAGGATACATAAGTCATGGCTAATCATAGCATAGCTAATGTGGATTATGCTGCTATAAATATTGATGTAGCTGTATCCCTATAATAAGCTTACTTGAGATATTTTGGATATATACTTGGGAATGGAAGAGATTTTTCAAATTGTGGTTTTATTTCTAATTATTGAAATAAAATATCCTGCTTTCTGGAGTGGTTACACTATTTAAGAATCCTATCAACATTACATGAGTGTACCCTCCCCCCAACTTCCTCTCCAGTATTTAATATTAAATATCAACATAGTTTTGATTGGCATTTACTTTAATTGCTAAAGATGTTAAACAATTTTTCATAGGTTTGTTGGCCTTTTTCATTTCTTCTTTTATGAAATATCTATTTCTTTTGCCCATTTATTAATTGGGTTATTTCTTTCTATGTTAAATTTTTTAAGTTTTTCATACTTTCTGGATATTGATTGTGTGAGGAAAAGATAGCAAATATTTTCTTCAATTTTTTAGATTTTATCTTTACACTATTTATATTTCTTTTGCTATGAAGAAACTTTAACTTGATGTTATTTTTTTATTCAGTCTTGATTTTATTTCTGTGCTCAGGAATCCTGGGAATGGAGTTCAGTTCTGTACTGACATGTTGAAGTTTTTGTCTACATTTTCTTTTAGAAGTTGAAGAGTTTCTGATCTAATTCATAAGTTTTGAGTCAAGTTATACTTTTGTACAAATGAATTTCTAGTTTTTCTGCACCATTTGTTTAAAACACTGTCTTTTTTTCAATGTATGTTTTTGTTGCCTTTCTCTACTGTCAGAATGCTGTTTTTATTTTATTTATTACATACATCACATAGAGGAGTGCATTACATTCATAATTTTTTTGCATTGCAGTTCTTAGTACACCTTTATACCACAATTTATCAAATCTATTTGTAGACAATGTATGTTGACACCAAATTCTCATCTTCATACGTGAATTTTATATAATGATGACCATCTCCTTCCACTATGCTTGCTATTCCCATTCTCCCTCCCTTTCTCTCCCACCTCTATTTCCTATCTAGAGGTAATCTTTCTCCCTTGCTTTCCCTCCCAACCCTATTTTGAGTCACCTCTCTTATATAAGAGAAGACATTTAGCATTTTTTTTTGATTGGCTAACTTCACTTAGCATAATCTGCCCTAATGCCATCCATTTCCCTGCAAATGCCATGATCTTATTATTTTTTAGCGCTGCATAATATTTCATTGTGTATAAAGGCCACATTTTTAATCCATTCATCCATTGAAGGATGAATGGCTTCACAGTTTAGCTATTGTGAATTGTGCTGTTATAAATATTGATGTGGCTGTGTCCATGTAGTATGCAGTTTTTAGGTCCTTTGGGTGTAGTCCGAGAAGAGAAATAGCTGGGTCAAATGGTGGTTCCATTCCAGCTTTCCAAGGAATCTCCATACTGCTTTCCATATTGGCTGCACTAATTTGCAGTCCCACCAGCAGTGTAAAAGTGTACCTATTTCCCCACATCCTCGCCAACACTGTTGTTGTTTGTCTTCATCATGGCTGCCATTCTTACTGGGGTGAGATGGTATTTTAGAGTAGTTTTAATGTGCATTTCTCTGATTGCTAGAGATACTGAGCATTTTTTTTGTATATTTGTTGATTGATTGTATATCCTCTTCTGAGAAGTGTCTGTTTACGTCCTTGGCCCATTTATTGATTGGATTATTTGACTTTTTTTGGTGCTTATCTTGTTGAGCTCTTTATATACCTAGAGATTAGAGCTCTGTCTAATGTGTGAGAGATAAAAATTTGCTCCCAGGATGTAGGATCTCTATTCACCTCACAGATTATTTCTTTTGCTGAGGAGAAACTTTTTAGTTTGAATCCATCCCATTTTGTTGAGAGCCACAGCTGAAGGGGCCCCAGCAAACTTCCAGCTGCCAGCTGATTGGCTCCTCTGCGGTGATGCTCTTTGGGCTGTTTCCCTGCCCTTTCAGACCATGGAGCTGCTCATTGGGGGACTTTTTTGGCTCTGCCCACGTGACCCAGCCAATCAGCCTCAAGAGCAGGAGGAGTGGGGGAGATGGAGAGGCTTGTGGGAAGCCGGTGGTGGCAGTTTGGCTCTGAGGGTTTTTCCTGAGGAGCTGTTTTGTTTGGCGTGTGTGGTTCTAAAAATAAAGTTTTTTTCTTTTGACAAGTGGCTCCTGAATTGTGCCCAGCCAGACTGAGGCACCATTTGTTGATTCTTGATTTTAATTCTTGTGCTATAGGAGTCTTATTAAGGAAGTTGGGGCCTAAACTCATATGATGAAAATTAGGACTTACTTTTTTTTTTCTATTAGATGCAAAGTCTCTGGTCTAATTCCTAGGTCCTTGGTCCATTTTGAGTTAACTTTTGTGCATGGTGAGAGATAGGGATTCAATTTCATTTTATTGCGTATGGCTTTCCAGTTTTCTCAGCACCATTTGTTGAAGATACTATCTTTCTTCAGTGCATGCTTTTGGGACCTTTGTCTAATATAAGATAGTTGTAATTTTGTGAGTTAGTCTCTGTGTTCTCTATTTTATACTATTGGCCTACCAACACCATGCTGTTTTTGTTACTATTGCTTTGTAGTATAGTTTAAGTTCTGGTATAGCGATACCACCTGTTTTACTCTTCCTGCTTAGAATTGCTTTATTTATTCTGGTCTCTTATTCTTCCAGATCGTGACTCTTTTTTTTTGTCTGTATCTTCCTGTATCTCTCCATTTTGAATCTGACTAACCAAAATCCAACTGGAGCTATTTTCTCTCTGGAACATGCCCCTTGGTGCTCCTCTAAGCTGCTGGGTCTGACCAGCTCAGCAGAAATTCAACTTTTGGTTTTAGGTTTTTTCCCCTGAGGCTGCTTGTCTGTGGTTTGTAAGCTGCAGACTGAGCAAAAATTGACTCCCTCCTCAGTCCTGCCACAGAAAGAGAGAACCCCTTGGAAGGTGTCAGGACATTTGTCCTATTCCAAACCTCTAACAGCTCTCTGAAGCCTTTTCAGCATGTCCTTGGGGGACCTATTTCCTGTTCTAGGTCATCAAAAAGACATATTTCTAAAGTGGTCCAGACCTTCTGAACACTCTCTATTGTATTTTTAGACAGCTTGGCAGAGAGGCAGACTTTATATAATTTTCTACCTAGCCTTTCTCAAGTACGTAAATTCAGTTAATCTTGCTGACAAAACCACAGGCACGTCTCACTAACTGTTTTCAGGAACTGAGCTAGCTGGGCCCTTCTGACTTGTTTTCCACTCTGGTTGATTACTATCTCCAGAGTTGTTAAATACATTTCTTTATCTGAAGACATGGAACTGCACATGATAATTCTTTAACATCCCTGGCTCTGAAACTGTCTGCTTCCTCTGTGATCCCCCAAAGAATCAGTTTTATCAAGGGACACAGACCTTTTATAAAACATTATGCAGAATGGTGGCCTATTAAATCCTGTAGGAATGGTAAGAACACAGTCTGTAAAGACAACAATGAGTATCATGAGACATTTTTGCAGGTATATAACAATTTTAGCCAAGAGAATCCAGATATTATAATAGGTTTTAACAGTCAAGGAGTCTAACAGTCAAGGAGTCTAAATTCCCCATGGCTGGGGAACAACAGGACAATGTTATTATTAAGACCAAAGCATTTACAGAGTTTTTTTTTTTTTTTTTGTGAGTTTAGCAATTAAATCAGTAACTAAGTTGTTTTTTTTTTTTTTTAAAATTTGTTTTAATTAGTTATACATGACAGTGGAATGCATTTATGCACTTTGATATATCATACATGGATGGAATATAATTTCTCATTATATATATAATATAGTATATAATATATATATAATAAATACAATATTGTATGTAAAATAATGTCTATTTCATTCTAATATCTTTCCTATCCCCACATCCCCTCTTCTCCCCTCCCATCACTTCCCTCTACCTAATCTAAGGTAACACTATTCTTCCATAGTGCCCCCCACCTTATTGTGAATTAGTATCTGCATATTAGAGAAAACATTCAGCCTTTGGTTTTGTGGGATTGATTTATTTGCTTAGCATGATATTCTCCAAATCCAACCATTTACTGGCAAATTTCATAATTTTACTTTCTTTAAAACTGAGCAACATGGCATTGAGTACATATACACAATTTTTTTTTATCCATTCATCTATTGAGGGACACCTAGTTTGTTCCATAGTCTAGCTATTGTGAATTAAGCTGCTATAAACATTGATATTGCTGATTTTCAGGCCCAGAGTCTTTCCTGTTGCTGTTAAAACCCAGGAAGCTCATTCTGATAAAAATCCCAAGTGGTCATAGGTGTTGAGAGCCTGGAGCCACGGGGCCCACGTGGGGCACTAAGAGGGGCTACTGGGTTCAGCTGCAGCGGCGACCTGGGAGAGGAAGGGACAGGATGGAGGCAGAGGAGGCGAGCCCTGTGCCTGTCTTCCTTGAGCCATCATGGAATTGGTCCCTGGTCTCGGCTGCCTGGCCTCTCCTGCCACAGGGAGCCAGGTCGCCTCTGCTTCGGGGTGCTGGGCTGCGGCTGGGCGTTGGTGGCCACAGCTGCCGGTGAATGCGCATGAGCAGCTTTGGGTCTCACACCATGCAAGAGGGAGCTGTGAGCCTGCAGCTGCTCAGACGCAGCACTTGGGGAGAACTGGGGCCAGGAATTGGCACTTCCTCTTCCCTGCCTGTTGAGAGCCGCAGCCAAGTCGGGATGGCGCCTGGCGTTTTGCCAGGGTGGAGTTAGCGGAGTTCCCGAGTTCTGGTGGAGCTCTCATGGAATTCCTAGAAAGTTCACCTTGGTGGAGTTGGAGGGTACAGTTCCAGTTGAGTGCTAGAGGAAGTGCCAGAGTTGGCGGTTGAGCTCTAGGATGGGGTGGTGCAGTGAGAATCATCGGTGCTAAAAATAAAGTTCGTTCCTGCTTGACAAGTGGAATTGTGCCCAGCCAGACTGCGGCACATAGGAAAATATTTTGGGTAAAGACAAGGTTGCTAGGTAATGTGCGTGGCTGAAAAAGCTAGGACAGCGGAATCTTGGTCACTTTTTTTCCCCTTATTCCCATTTTGATATTATCTGGAGCTGGATATGTGAAGTTGTGTTTGACAGCCTAGGCTGGATTTCCTGGGTAGGGATCCAAAAGTGGTCTTCATTATCTATAAAAACATACACACAACTTTTGCCTTGGGTTATATTCTTACCAGAATTCCAAATGTTAGTAAGATCATCCTGATACCAAATCGGTGTGTCTAAATGTTTCCCTTCTTCTGTCAAAAAATATTTATCTGTCCGAGTCATAATGTCTCCTTAAGGTAAACTTATAAAGTTTATTGTAAATAAAGCCAATGCACTATTACCATTAATTTTTAAAAATATTTGTTTATGGATAATATCAAGTATAGGATCAAATAATTTCCCCCTTTTTGATTTTTAAAATTTGGAGTTTTAAAGTTCAATTAGCTCTTTCAGTAATAGCTTGACCTTGAGGGTTGTAGGGTATACCAGTACAATATTGCAGGTCTTTAAAATAGTTTAAAATTTATGAGAAGCATACACAAGAGCATTATCAGTTTTAATAATAGAGGGAATTTTCATAGCAGCCAAACATTCAGTTAAATATAGGAATACATGTTGAACAGTTTCTCCATTGTGTGGAGAAGGCTATATAAAGCCAGAATAGGTATGTACACATACAAAAAGGTAAGCATATTGTTTTAGAGAAGGCAAATGTGTTACGTTCATCTGCCACATGGCATTAGGCTCCATTCTTCATGGATTTGTTCCTTGGAGGACAGGTCTTTTCTTCAGAGCTTGGTATACCTTAGTCCAAGACCTCCTAGCCTTAAGAATCTAGCTTGAGAAATCAGCTGATGCCTAAATTGTTTCCTTCTAAATGTTATTTGACTTTTTTCTCTGGCACTCTTTAGAAATATACCCTTATTCTGTATATTAGGCAACTTTATAATAATATGTCTTTAATTTTATAATAATAATAACTTTATAATAATATAAAAAATCCAATGATTTTTTAAAAAATTTGATTTATTGATTCCTTTAGTTCCAGAATTTCTGCTTTTCTCCCCAGAATCATTCTGTCTTTATTGAAGTGATCTTTTTCTTTCTCTATTTTCTCCCTTGCACTGTTCTTTATCTCACCAATCAATGTAGATATGAACATTCTAACATATTCTTCACTGCCATGTTGAATTCCATTTTTAGATATTTTGGTTTGAGGCCATTTATTCTCTTGATGTTTCATGTTTATTTGTATGTCTACCCACCTAACAATTGATGTTGAGGCACTAGATTTTCTGCCTTGTGAAATTATGCTATTTCTGAAGGTTTCTAATTATTCAGAGTTTAGAGAGATGGATACTAATAACAAGTGGTACAAACCATTTGCAGCAGCATTAAACCAAATATATCTTGCAATGAAATCTACAATATTGATTGTTCCAATGCTCACAAATGGTGTGTCATCAATTGCCCAAAGTAAAAATGGTAAGTTTATAAAAGGCTTAACAATTTCCTGTGAGGACCAGAGTTAGAACAAAAGTGATGTAAGAGGTAATGATATTGAGAAGAGGAGCATAAAAGGAGGTAAAAAATTAAAGGAGGAGAGGAAGAAAGAACAATAGAGATTGTCAGTTCTTGTTGAAAAAGTGAGAGAACCAAGAAACAAACAAATATGAGAAAAAAATATAAAAAATAAGAGTAAAATAGAATTTTTTTAAAAAAGAAAAGAAATATGAAAGAAAAATATGAGAAAAAAGTTTACAAGAACAAAATTGATATATGCTGATAAAACATCTTAGTTTGCATAATACTGATCCATGAAAGATAACTGTCTTCAAATAAAATGGTCAAAGAAAAAAAATAGGATATTGAGTATATAAAAGTATCAAGTTAAAGATAGAGTTTTTTAAATTAAAAAAAAAACCCTTAACACTGAAAAACAAACAATCTAATCAGTAAATAGGCAAAGAAACTGAATAGACAATTCACAGAAGAAGAAATACAAATGATCAACAAAAATATGAATGGATGTTCAACATCTCTAGCAATTAGACAAATGCAAACCAAAACTACAGTGAGATTTTTGTCTCACTCTAGTCAAAATGGCATCACCAAGAATACAAACAACAATAAATGTTGTTTGTATATAAAAATGTACATTCATATATTACTGGTGGGGCTGCAAATAGGTGCAATCACAGTATGGAGATACCTAAGAACTTGAAATGCAACCACCATTGGACCCAGTCATTCTACTTCTTGGTTTATGCTCCCAAACCATAAAATCAGCCAACTACAGTAATGTGGTCATATCAATGTTTACAGCAGCTCAATTCACAGTTGATAAACTATGGGACCAACCTAGGTGTCCTTCAAAAGATGAGTCAATAAAGAAACTGTTATAGATACACAATGAACTATTACTTAACCTTACAGAAGAATAAAATAATGGCATTTGCCAAATATGGATGAACTGGAGAACATGATGCCAAGCAAAATAAGCCAATGAATCAAAGAACAAAAGGCCAATATTTTCTCTGATATGTGGATATAATACACAATGTGTGTTTGGGGAAGTAATGGTATTTTGGATTAAACAGAGTGGAGTGAAGAAAAGCAAGAATGGATGGGGGACCTGGGAGAATGAATGATAGTATAATAAATCAGACATTATTACCCTATGTGCATATATGAGTACAAGACCTGTATAATTCTACATCATATACAACCAGAAGAATAAGAATTTATACTCCATTTATGTATGATGTCAAAATTTATTCTACTGTATAACCAATTAAAAAATTAAAAATAAATAAATAAAAGAGTTCTTTAAGAGGAAAAGAAGAGGAAAGGGGTGGTAGAAAATGCTTTGTAGATTCAAACAATGAGTGAGGTATGCAGATGTAATGTAGGATGTGTTTTTAAAACAAAAAAATATAAAAATAGAAGAAAAGGAATTAAAAGAAGAATGTCAGAGAGCATACAATAGAATTTGGCTGTTGGTAAAAAATGACACAGAAACTATAAAAGAGATTTGTGAAAAAAACTATAAAATATCTGTCAATAGAAAATCAATTCAAAATATACTAATCATAGATATAGGCTTCAAAAAAACAACAACAAAAAAACAACCAAACAAAATAACTAATACAGAGCATGAAAAATAGCTACCTTCAAGAAATGTTGAAAACTAAATAAAAAACCAAAAAGCAACAGTAATAAAAACCCCAAATGGATGCCTATGTTTACAAATGTATAAATGTTTATTTTTTTCAATCAGTTTACATTCAAAAACAAAACCAAAAAATTCCAAAATATAAAAAAAAACAAAACAGAAAAATAGTCAATGGAAGTTTTTGTTTGTTGTTTGTGCCAAACAACACAACAAAAAAAAACTCAGGTTTTCTTCTCAGTTGGATAATGTGAAGAGCTATGGAAAATGTCAACAGCTTGACTTCCTGTGTTTTGTTGCCTTTGGATCCTGTGGAATGAATTGCTAAAAATGAAGCTTAGAGGGGTGGGAATTTGGTCTGTTATTATACCAGGTGTTTTATCTGGTGGGAAGTTTTGTGTTGTTAATGAATCAATGTGCTTCTAGGAGTTTATCCACTACTTTCATCAGGCCACTACTCCATTCTTCTATCTATCCTTCTGCTCTGCTTTGAGGGCTTCCTGTGCTTTTGTGTTTTAATTTTTTTTTCTCTCAAAGGGGTATTTTGAGCACCGAGCTTAATGGAGTTCTTCTCTGCCCTAGGTTCTGTGTGCTGCTGGCAGCATGTTCAATATCTGTGTGTGGGGGAGTGTACCAGTGAAAAGAAAATAAAAATGACACACAGAGACAAGATGCAAATGCAGGAAGTATGGCAGAATGGCCAGGCTATCAGATCTATATGACATTATTCCTAGGAGCATCATTCCCAGGAGCTGTTGTATCAATAGGTTACTTTAGGTCATTGGCATGATTACTACATATTGTTCATTGTATTATGAGGCAGATTATAGACTTAGCATCATTATGTTGCTTATTTCTCAGATACATGCTAAATTGCAATGTGCAATGTTAGAAGTATTGTGTAGCTCTCAAAAATATCCATTTTATAAAATTACTGATATGAGGACAAGTTTAGGCTCAGTGAAACATTGTGGTTGAGTAAGGAAATTTCCTTCATTCCCAGGATCTGTGTGCTGCAATAACCTGTGTAGCTAAACTAGCAGATTCCCACAAGAGAAGATGGGAGATTTGAAGAGATAAAGAATTAACACACACAGATTTTGAACATAAAGTTGAGATCAGATGGAGCACTGCTCTCTGATAGAAAAACATGTCTAAAAAATTACACCAGCAATCCTTATCATATATGCCTCTAGATCAGGTTAAAGAATATGCAAGCATTATTCTTTGTATTCATGAAAGTTAGAGTTAAATGTATGCAGCGATTTCTTCTGTTACTATCTACAGTTGAAGTATGCAAAGTTAGGAGCATTGGGCAGCTCTCAAGAAAGCCCATTGTTTAAAGTTACTAATTTGTGGGTAGAATTAGAAGCAGTGGAACTGGTGAAACATTGTGGTTATCTTAGCAAGGAAATTCCTTAATTCCCATGAGCTGCTGTGCGTAAGAATAAAGTCAAGGCTGATAAGACTCTAGCATGAAGGACATTTTCATAGAAACCGGTCATCCTATGCCTTTGCACAAAACCTCTCCCAGCCACCAACTATGCCACAGCTATGAAGTCATCCGGGACCCCAA